ATTGAGTCGAAGGGAAGCCCCTTCCCTTTGATCCCTCCCCCGCCGGGAGGGGGGGGGGTAGCGACCCCCCCGGGTCAGATACGACGCCCCCCCCTGGGGCTCCTCTTCCCCTGGGCTCCAGCCAGGCCGACCTTGAGCAACCTCGTAATTGAGTCGAAGGGAAGCCCCTTCCCTTTGATCCCTCCCCCGCCGGGTGGGGGGGGGGGGTAGCGACCCCCCCCCCGGGTCAGATACGACGCCCCCCCCTGGGACTCCTCTTCCCCTGGGCTCCAGCCAAGCCGACCTTGAGCAACCTCGTAATTGAGTCGAAGGGAAGCCCCTTCCCTTTCATTCCTCCCCCGCCGGGAGGGGGGGGGTAGCGGGGGGGGTAGCGACCCCCCCCCCGAGTCAGATACGACGCCCCCCCCCCGTACCGACCTTGAGCAACGTCGTCATTGAGTCGAAGGGAAGCCCCTTCCCTTTCCCTTCCCCGACGGGGGGGGGAGAGGAGGTCCCGGGGGGGGTCCCGGGGGAGTCCCGGGGAAGTCCCGGGTCAGATACGACACCTCCCTCCCCCACCTTCTCGTCCTTCTCCCCGTTCCCCCAAACCATCCCACAGCCCGTGCCTCTTGCTGCGCATTGCGAACAGGGTCGGCGGCACCGGCCGTCAGGCCTTCGCAATAAAAACAAGAAACGCCGTCGGAGATCTGGGGCTCTCCCCCTCGGCGCGCCGCCAGGGGCTGTCCTCGCGCTGCCACGCGTGCTCGTCCTCCGCCCCCGCGTCCACCGCGGCGGACGCCCTGGTCCCGAGGGGCAGGTGCCACAAGGCGCACCCGCCCACGAGCCGTGGCCTGGCACGCCTCGCCCGGAGGAGGAGGAGGGAGCAGGAGCAGGAAGGAGGAGGAGGAGGAAGGAAAAGGAGGAGGAGAAGGAGGAGGAGGAGAAGGGAGGAGGAGGAGGGAGGAGGGAGGAGGAGGGAGGAGTGAGGAGGGAGGAGCGAGGAGGGAGGAGGGAGGAGGAAGGAGGGTGGAGGAAGGAGGGAGGAGGGAGGAGGGAGGAGGAGAAGGAAGGAAGGAGGAGGGGAGGAGGAGAAGGAGGAGGAGGGGGGGAGGAGGAGGAGGAGGAGGAGGAAGTAGGAGGAGGGAGGGGGGAAGAGGAGGAGGAGGAGCAGGAGGAGGAGGAAGCGGAGGAGGAGGGAGGATGGAGGAGGGAGGAGGGAGGAGGAGGGAGACAGGAGGGAGGGGACGAGGGAGGAGGGGGAGGAGGAGGAGGAGGAGGAGGAGGAGGAGGAGGAGGAGGAGGAAGATGAGGAAGAGGAGGAGGAGGAGGAGGAGGAGGAGGAGGAGGAGGAGGAGGGAGGAGAAGGGAGGAGGAGGGAGGAGGGAGGACTCTGAATTTCAGAACAGACAGAGTCAGTGAATGAGGGAACCTAGCATGTTCATGTTGGGATGAAGAGTGATTGATATTGAACTGTAAATATCGGCTCAAGTACAAAATAGTCGAGTTTGGTAGCGTGACATATGCGATCCAAAGCTTCGAAGCTCTCAACTCACTTACACGTTCTGGCCAGCAATAGCGTTCTCTGTCTGGTCTCGCTCCTTTGGGCCTGGCGAGGAGACCTTGCTGTTTGGAGACTCGACGCTACAGAGCTCGTGGACGCAGACGGCTGGAAGCTGACGCTCTACCCTCAAGCCTACGTTCAAGAAGCAGACGAACAACATCGACACGCTCGAGCTCCAGTTTGGTTGAACATCCCTACTACAGCAGACATGGACTCTGGCGCTGCAAACGACAGCGCGGCAGGAAATTCAAGGCTCCCTCTTGACTCTTTTACGCGGTCGACACCTCCAGGATGGGTCACCGGCATCAAGCGATATCCGATTCGACGATATGCTCAACTCTTGAAGCTATGGTGGCTGCAGACAGATCTGCCCGAGACCCAGTGGTGCCCAGCGACATGCAGACGACTTCGAGGACAGGTCTTCCAGGACAGACTCGTGTCGATCCAAACACGGGCAACCCAGGAGTTCTGGAAGCGCCCGAGCTCTTCGCCGCGCCGGCCAACGAAGAGATCAACCTAGGACATATCCAGGTTCTGGCTCAGGCGAGCGGCGCGAAATCCCTCATCCAACGAGTTCTGGAAGAATACACGACGGACATGCAAGATCTTCAGTGGGAAGGGCTCACTGCATTCTTCGAGCTGTTGAGAGGCAACAGCAAGTTCGACGACTACCTAGCGCTGCACGACTTGGCTCTCTCAGACGCGGAGGCCCAGTGAGGCCTGCAGATGAACGACATCACCAAGACGTGCTTCCTGCTTCGAGGAGCGCAGCTCTCGGAGCGGCAGCACTTCGATCTACGCCTGCGCGTTGACGGAGATGTATCACGATACGGAGATATTCTGCGACTATACACATGGATGTTTGGAGATCCTGATGCGGCCAAATCTTCTACGTTACACGATATGTCTTCGATCTACCACACTGGTGGCAGTGGTTCTTGGCAAAACCAGTTCTGGGAACAGAACGGCACGTACTGGGGCGATCAGGACTGGCAGGACGACACCGGATGGCACGACGATGACTGGCAAGAACAAGATGCCCAGGCAGATGCTCAACAAGGCACAGGCGAGTTCTGGGGCACAGGAGAAGGCGACAACAACAAGAAGGACGGCTGCACAAAGTGTGGATCAAAGTGGCATTCGACGACGGATTGCCCGCTGCCCGGAGGCCAGAGCTCTCAAGACGATCGTGGAGCTCAAGGCGGTACATCCAAGGGCAAGTTCAAGGGCACGAGATCTGACTCAACACACCTTGGCGCATACGACATCAACTACGGCGGCAAGAAAGGCTACCGCTCAAAGGGCAATGGCAAAGGCCGACTCTCCAAAGGTTTCCGCAGCGGCAAGGGCAAGTACAACTCCAACTACAAGGGCAACCGCAAAGGACGCGGCGGCAAAGGTTTCAGGTATCGCAGCGGTGGCACCTTTCTCCTTGAAGACGGACCAGTTCAGCTTGGAGAAGATGGACCTCAAGCTGATGAAGACGGCTATATCGAAGGCGGCGATACCTCATCGTACGAACGTGATGGAGTTTACGGATTCTTCCAGCAGTCGACGGGTGAGATCTGATATGAGTACAGCGATGGCACCCCGGCGACTCAGACGCATGCAGGCACGTACGTCGCAGCTGTGGATACCTCAGGTTCCTGGGAAGCTGCTGGTACCAGTGAAGGTAGCGCTGGTCCGACAACGCCAGCGCCATCATCAGGCTTCCAAGGATTGCCCGACCTTGTTCCGCGTGAATACCTGTCGCCACAGCACAATCAACGAGATCAACAACTACCACGTCCAGCGCGTCCGACCTCACCTCTGCTGCCCGAGTTCAACTTCGACAGTCTTCTGGCCCGGAGACGCCAGATGCAGGAGATCGGCATCGAGGATCCGGACGACGCGGAAGCTCAGAGACCTTCAAGCTCAGCAGCGATGAGAACTACCAGAAGAACGAGTTCTCTGGCAAGGACAGCTCTATTCACGGCGACAATGCTCTCGGCGTTCGCATCCCACGAGCAGGTGATGTTGCCAACAACACCGACATGGCATCAGGCAGAGATACGCCCGACTAACTACCACACTTTCCACGTGGTTCGCGGACGCCCGATGCACGGCATGCTCGTGGACACTGGAGCAGTAAAGGCTATCATGGGCACCGATGCGATGAGAGACTACACTACCGACAGCTTGTCCAAGTACGGCACAGTTTTCAAGGTCACTCCTTCGACAAGCATTTTTATGGGTATCGGAGGCAGATCAAAGCACAGTAAAGGACTTGCAGAAACACCTCTAGGCATTCCCCTTCCTGGAGTCACTGAAGTGACGATTGATATGGATCTGCTTGGCAATATGGGTTCACAGTGTCCTGGGTTGCTACTATTGAGTGTTATGATCCGCCTTAAATCGTCAATACTCTGTGGAATTCTACAAGGAGGAGATGGCATCATGATCATACGTCTCAATGAGGCAGGAAACACGACAATGGCCCATCCGATACCCAAGATTTTCTTCGTAAGGTTATACACCTCACGGACTCCTGTCACCACCTGCTACCCATTGGAAGTTTCGAGAAAGGCAACTGGTCCGAGCAGAACAATTTGCGTAAGGCAGTACAGCAGTATTTCAGCGAGCTTATGCAGACGCCTTCTGGCAGGCAGTCCACGCAATCGCGGAAGTCCAAGGGCATGGACGCTGGTTCCCTGGCGCTGATGACGACAGCTCCAGGCCCAGAGGGCGCAAGTGGTCCTGATTCAGACGACGGATCTTGTCACGGCAATCTGGCACGACAGCTAGCACCAGCTCATGTTCAAGAGCCTCCAGCCATGCCTACTACGACGACGACGGTATCAACAGCGACGCCATTGCATTCGTCGCCACATTGCCAGGAGGAAGCTCGGAAGGCATTGTCAGGACCTCAGGCGACACCTTCATTGGCAGTTCAGCATGAGATCTGGAAAGACATCCCTCAGAGTGAATTCTACGCGGCATGGATGAGCATTCAATCACCAACTTATACCTCCGACGTTTGACCTCAACACTGGAACACGAAGCGCAGAAACGACGCGGAGAAATACTATCTCAGCATGCCCGAGGAAATCCACAGCGGTACTGGCTTACCCGCAATCACCCCGGCTGTGGCAAAGTAATGGTTGCAGCATGTATCTCCACACACGGCGAAGAACGAATTGGGTCACAGTCTGGATTTTCAGGAAAACTGTTCGGGATCTGCGAAGCTATCGTTGGCTATATTACAGATACGATTACATACCAGATTTCCACTGGATCATCGATAAGGATGGGATACTACCCTCACAGAACACCAGCACATATTGGACGACATCAACAGCAAACATATCATTTTCAGTCCGGTTCTTCTCACCGCGCTGCTCTCCATGGCCAAAGGCGAATACCAACTCAAAGGCAGAGACAAAAGCGAGAGCACGACAAGAAGAACGACCAGGACTGCAGTGGAACACCTATCGATGAAGACAGATTCTTGACTCCAAGATCAACACGGCTTTCATCCTGGAGACACCTCATGGTTCTCAGCTACTTACCGACAGTCCATATGCATATATCCATAATGGCACGAGAACTACCTCGGCTGTTCTGGCCAAGTGTCAACATGGAGCGAGGATTGCCCAACAAGAAGACAACGGTTTTGGACTACATGGGCATCAAGATTGGTCAAGCTACTCCATTACGGTGTATTGGAGAGGACAAATGCCTGTATCATGGCGAACTGTCAGGCAAGATTCCAGGCACCAACATGTGGCGTACATCACCGGCAGCGTATCCATGGAATCTCTGCACTTCTATCGGCACCGATGTGTGGCAGCACACACAAGTTTCCAGGCACATTATCATTGATGGTTTTCTGGACATGTGATCGATGTAAGCACGGAGCTACGTATCCAGGAGCAGACATGCACGTCACTCCAGTTCATACTCGAGCTGAAGGTTGCAGGTTCAAGGACACGTTGGTACCAGGAAGAGCTATCGTTGGAGTGCCAACAGGAGCACAATCAGGAGGCTCCTCTTCGGCGGCAGCACCTGATCCAGCTGGGGCACCAGCGGCAGTACCACTACCACCTGAAGGACCTCAACCTGAAGGACTTCAATCTCAAGGAGATAGACATCGACCAGCACCAGCACCAGCGCCCGCAGTTCCACCACCAGGTCTTCCGGATCCAGCTCTTGAAGAGCCGAAGACCTCAAGCAACAGTGACTCGGCAGCAGCAGCAGCAGCTCCAGCACCTCCTGAGCCCAATCAAGTACCATTTGTGGCACCCGCTAAACCACTCGACG